AGTCGCCGGACAGCAGTCACCAGGAAGCAGAGTGACTGTGCAGTCATCAGTATTCTCCTCTTTCTCCTGCTTCCTGATTGATCTTGCAATAAAACAATTTCGTTGCAACAAGGCCAGGGTCTCTTTAATCCATTGGATATTTTGTCAAGGGTGCATGTGTATGTGTATGTATGTGTGTGTGTATGTGCATGTATGTGTATGTGTGTGTATTAATGTATATATGTGTGTGTTTGTGTGTGTGTGTATTTGTTTGTGTGTGTGTTTGATTGTGTGTATTTGTTTGTGTGTGTATTTGTTTGTGTGTGTGTTTGTTTATGTGAGCACATATTTGTGTGTGTTCGTTGGAGTTTATGTATCGCGTGTGCAAGGTGCGTCCGTGTGTATGTGAGGACGCATAATAAGTGTCATCCTGCTGGGGTAAGTTAGCAAATAATGCTTTCTGTGTTGCAGCTGGAGGAGCCAGGAGTGTGGACGACTGGAGGACCTCTGATGACAGGAAGACACTCAGAGAAAGAGACCCCATATCTCTCAGGGACGGAGAGGTCGACCCCATATCTCTGAGGGGCGGGGAAACCCTGAGTCCCATGATGCATCAGGTTGATGGGGCTTCTTTTACAGGGCAAGAGAGAGAGCAACAGCGAGAGTTGTGGGATCTATCTTCATTGCAACGGGAGGACCTGACGTCATTACAACAGGAAGAACAGAGCGATTCTTGGAGCTTGGCTTCACTAAAACAGGACGACCAGTACAGGTTCTGGGATCCAATTCTTTGGCAGAAACAGAGGCGACAGTTGCCTTGGGATCAGCAGCTTAAGTCAGTGGCATTAGATTCGATTTCCTCTCACGAACAAGATCAGTGGGAGCTGAACCTACGGGACCTGAGTCTTCAGAAGGTGGCTCCGTCCCTAACGACGACCCTTGAGGACCCCAGCAACGCCCCATCGGGGCCTTACTTCCTGGAGCCTCCCGCTGTCCAGGTCTCCGTCAGGGCGGGTCAACCAGCCACTCTTACCTGCATCGTCAAGCATCTGGGCAACAGACAGGTATACTGTGCTGTCTCTCTGATGAGAGAATGTATGTTGCCATCTGTCTTTTGAAGAAATGTCCGTTATCTTCTGTAATATGAGGGTCGGGAGTTTTATTACATTTAACAGGTTTGAAAGGGATAGCTTACCTTATTTAACAAGTTTGTTTATGGTGAGAGAGAGAGAGAGAGAGAGAGAGATTACACAATACTGTTAAACGTGTGTGTCAGAGAAAGATTATTATTATAATCAAAAAGAAGCGCTAAGCCACAAGCAAAGCCCTTGTGGCTTAGTGCATCTCAGAGAAAGAGATGCGCTTCTACCCTTCTCTCACTGTCTAAACAGTGAGAGAAGGGTGGTAGTGCCGTTGTACAGTGGGGAGCAGAATCTACCATTCTTCATGATTTAAAAAACCGTAATAACACGATTGCATGGGTTCAAACCTCACCTGTTTACCTCCTTGGAGTATACCTGGAGGGTGTTTCAGGGGTCAACGCCCCCGCGGAGTTCCGAAAATTTTCTCCCATCCCTTCCCTCTGTTTTCCCTCCATCAACATTATTTTTTTTTCAGAAAGAGATTTGTTCTTGGGTAATCTAAAGCACCTTGATTCCGACGTTGAGGAGATGAATAAGATACATGTGCAACGTCTTGGTATCTTTATTCTCCACTATCGGTGCTATACGACAACAAATCATACAAAGGCTTGTTCCTATTATTTTTCACGCATAAATAAATGAATTTCAGACATGCAACGTAAGGAACTGTTAGAATAAGCTTATTTTAATAAGCTTATTGTAATACGAAAATACCCTGTATGTACAGTTTGAAGGAGCACTTCGTTCTTTAATGACTCTGATAATGATAACTTTACGTTTCCGAAGTCTTAATAAAGATGCTGATATAAGCATTATTATTATTATTATTATTATTATTATTATTATTATTATTATTATTATTATTATTATTACATTCCTTTTGTATATACACCGATGTGTATATAATATACATCTAGAAGTGTGTATCTCTCATTGTATATACATGGAAGCATGCATGTGCATCTCCCAGTATATATACATCAAATAGTGTGTATCTCTAATTATATATATACATTGAGACATGTGGGTATCTCCCAGTGTATACAAACGAAGAGGTGTGATTCATTGTATATACAACGAGAGGCGTATATCTGTCAGTGTATATATTCGCTAAGAATACAACTCAGTATTTTAGTTAGATATTAAAGTATCGTTAACTGGTGAAGAGGTGACATGCAGACTTAACGACCATAGTTTAACAGATAAACTTAATGAACTTAACGACCCATTCCTACGCAGGTGTCGTGGATCAGGGGTCGTGACTTGCACGTACTCAGTTCAGGTGAGGTTACCTTCTCCTCGGACTCCCGAGTACAAGTGTCTCACCTGGGAGACTCATGGACTCTCATCATCAAGTACACACAGATGAGAGATGCCGG